TCTCTGTTTTCAAAACTTCTGGAAACAATCAGGCAGCCAGGGTGTCAGAATTAACCCAGAGCTCCTTATCTGCGTATCTGTTCCCAGTCAACCATGCTGAAAATATTAACGCCGTTCGGTCAAAATGATGGCTAGGGAGCTAGTGTTTTCAAGAGAAGACTAGCAACTTTTCTTGATTTCTTGATTTTAGATAGTGAACATTTGCTGTGTTATTGGTAACATCTATATGTTAATTTGGTCTAAGCAGTCCCATGAAAAATGTACCTTTTGTCTGGAATTCCTCCTAAATAATATCAGTGCACTTATTGGTATGTGAGTGGGCCTACAGCCTCATAGCTGTATAGGTCACTGCCGTACTGATCATTGTTCTCGTTGCTGGAGAAGGAGACGTACCTGTGAGTGTGCCTAGGCACTCCTTTGCCTACAGCCTCATAGCTGTTTATCTGCAGTGTGAGATCTAAGGCACTGCTGCCTCTGACTGCTAGTGTAAGGAGATTTGAAGATAGATTTGGTGATATCACTGCTGTGCTACTCATTTTTCTCCTCCCTGGACAGGAAGTCGTGCCTGTGAGTGTGCCTAAACGCTCGATTTTTATATATATGTTTAAAGGCTAATTGATTAGCCTGTATTTGTGGGAGGAGTCCGTTCCCTCCTCTCACACATAAAATGCTGCATACAATAATAAAAAAAAAAATAGAACGTATTATTTTTATTGGGGGGGGGGGGACACAGGGGCACCGAGCCGCTCGGCCTATCACTGACTGTACAGGGCGTTCGTTCGGCCCACCGCCTTCATACAGTACATTTTGTGGGGTTTTGATGTGTGGTTACTGATAGCAACATCTACATGCATTCGCATGCACCGCATTTTCGGGGGCACTGAGGATTAGCGCATGGAGTGGCTCCTCTGTCTCAGTCATACGTTACATACATTCTCATCTTTCATACGTATATGCCGCCAGTGGGCGGGGGGCATGGTTGTCCAAAGCAGATATATCGGATGCATTCAAGCTGTTGCCCATCGAACCTTTGTTGTGGCAATGGCATGGGGTAAGATGGAGGGGGCTGTATTACTTCGCTACCAAACTGACGTTCGGGTCAAAGAGCAGTCCCTGGTTGTTTGATACCTTTGCTCAGGCCCTTCACTGGGTGCTCGAGCACCATGTCCATTGCCAGAAGGTTTTGCATTACTTAGACGACTTTCTGCTGGTGGAGTCCCCTCACAGGTCACCGGTTGACCTAGGATTTTTGTTAGAAACTTTTGATTCGCTCAACGTCCCGATGGCGTCCAACAAGGTGGAGGGTCCCAGCACGGTCCTCACGTTTCTGGGCATTGTCCTGGACACTGCGGCCATGCAGGCCAGGTTGCCGCAGGACAAATTGGTTAGGATAAGGGAGGTAATTCACAGGCTGACGGTATCCCCTTGTTGTTCCCGGAAGGAGTTGCAGTCGTTGCTGGGCATGTTGAATTTCGCCATGCGCCATTCCGCAAGGTAGGTCTTTCATTTCTAGACTTCTGGTGTTGTTGCCTACCGTGTCGGAACAGGACGCATTGGTGCACGTCAACCCAGCAGCGCGAGCCGATTTAGCTATGTGGGATGATTTCCTGCATCGCTGGAATGGGATTTCTCTGTTTATCCCGCAGGTTTCGGTTACGTCGCCTCAGGTAGTAACGGATGCAGCAGCATCTTTCGGTTTTGCTGCTATTTTTGGTACTCACTGGTTTTCCAGCACATGGCCCATAGAGGTGAAATCCATCCCCAAATTCTCGGAGACGTCATCAATGTTTGAAATTTACCCGATAGTGGCAGCGGCCAAGGTTTGGGGTGGATTGTGGGCAGGACACACGGACCTGGAACTGGGAGGTTTCATGGTGATCCAGGAGGAAAGATGAGATCCCCAGGCCTAGATCCAGGCTTTAGCAGTGACCAGCACCCGATGATTGCACAGGTGTGCACAACCCTTAAGGAAAGGATGCTGGCTAGGGGAATTGGCTCCTGCTGGGAAAGAGGAACAGGCCATGTTCAGGAGTCAGGAGGACTTCCCCAGAACCTAAAGTGTAGTCAGGTGGTGAGTGTGCTGGAGGCACACTAAGAAAGCTAGGGAGGCTGGGAGAGAACTGGTGAGGCTAGGAGAGCCGTGAGCCTGAGGGGCCACCAGTACAAGTGTGGGACAGCACTTCAAAGAGGACCAGTGGGTCAGAAGTGCCCATGTTTAAAGTGGAAACCAGGAAGCTATTCCTGTGTTGTTTGGAAGCCTTGGAGAAATGTTATGCTAAACAACCCCTGCAAGGGTATCCAAGAGGGATGTATGAACTTTGTTTTGAATAAAAGTGGGCTTCCGAGCCCTTGAACCGAAGATATTGCAAGTAGACTATGCTGCTCACTGCTGGAAGCTCTGACATGAGGAAGCAAAGCACTGCCTCTATAAAGATGGCTACCTCCACCCGGGGACACAGTGCAGAAAAAGGCATGGCAGGTTAGTAATGGAGAAAAGCTCAGCTGCAGGGAGATAACAACCAATACTGGTCACTAGCCCTTCGCCCTCTACCTGTCTTTTTTTGGGCACAGCTTTCACAGTTCAGTTCCTCTTTAACCCCGATCACGTTGCTACAGCACTAAAAATTCATCTGCCCTCCAGGAGGAGAAAATCAAATATGTACTTCTCTCTACCACACAATTCACAACTCATCTGCATATCTCAGAAACGTCTTTCCATGTACGCGGCGAGGGACGCAATTGTCAGAATATATGAACGGGCGCGCTAAGATGCCAATAAAAAAAATAAAATAATTCAACACATCATGCATATGGAAGCTACAGACTCTGATAAACCCGCAGCTCTCCCGTCCTCCCCCCACCATGTAATGCATTTGTAATTCTGTATATTCTTGAAATATGACAGCGGTATAATCCTTACCCCCCGCTGACAATATGCAGCCAGGCTGCAAAGTTCTGCCTTCCAGATACGCAGACACATTACACTTGTCACTGCAAGGAGAATCATTTGCAAACTGCCAGTTGTAAGAATTGAACTGTAACCAAACCGTGAGCCTGCTGTGAGCTACAGATGTGTGAAAATAAAAGAAGCCTGCATCGAAGGCATTTTCCCCGGTAACTCTAATGTTCCGTAACAAACTTGCTGTACCGGGTGACAGCAGTCGATGGCTCGCAGCGTACAATCTTGTAACGTATTACATCATTTGGATTTTGTTTTTCATCGGTGATGAGAGCCTGGTGGTAAATGTTAAGTAATCACACAGAAAGTTTCATGTTTTCAATTACCGACCTTCTGTCAGGTTATCCAGTGTTTATTGAGCTCGTGGTACAAACCGCTTTCGGAATCCATATGTGGCACGGAATACAAATGCAGAGTGGGACGCGGCCTTTGCCGAGGCCCGGTTAACGCTATTCTATTGTATAAGAATTCAGATTAGGGCTGTGGAAAAACAACGCAATTTCGATTTTGTTTTTGCATTTGTGCGGCTGTTGAGTAATTGGAAAATTAGAGTGACACTAAACTCAGGAGTTAAATCCTACAAATGCATTCAAGTACCCTAACTATTAACAAAAATGTATCTTATTTGTATATCACTTGGCTGTAGATCCTCAAATCATCTCAGAATTGGTGCTGACACTGTCCTTCCTTCTGGAGGGTGGCTTCTTTTGTTCCCCATGGTCCCTGTGTGCGATGTAAAGTGGCCACCACTCCAAGCTCACTCCTGTGATAGACTACAATCTCAATACAAATTACTAAACTAAATGTGAGATTGTTTTCCATCCCGGGAGTGAGCTTGGAGCAGTGGCTACTTTACAACACACACAAGGACCATGGGGAATAAAAGTAGCCGCCCTCCAGAAGGAAGGACAGTGTTAGCACCAATTCAGAGATGAGTGAACGAACTACAGCCGAGTGATACACAAATAACACACATTTTTGTTCATAGTTAAGGTACTTGAATGCATTTTAAAGATTTAACTCTTGAGTTTAGTGTCACTTCAGGTTTTGGCACCTATTTGTTTAAAGAGACACAGTTATCCTGCTTATCCCCCACACCAGTTGTAGTCAACTTTACCAGTGCTTAAACATTGCTCCGTCCTCTGTCAGAGCTGGTGAAAATACCCCAAGCATGTGACTTCCTCTCATGCGACGGTGCTCATATCTGGAACCCATCTGCTAGGCCCAAGAAAAGAAGTCTTAGGCCTCTTTCAGACGCGTGTTAAAACCCGGCATTAGAGAAGAGTTTTTAATACCTTTCTGCTGACTATTACCGCTCATGTGGGGTAATGCAATAGCGACCGCCTAGTGCAGTTCGCACATGGGCATTAGCGTTGTGTTGCTGTGTGTCAAAAAATAGAGTGCATGTCGCGTTCTGGAGGCATTGCAGCTGGACAAATACTTCCATTGAGGTATATTGAAACTACTTACAGGACATTTTGCAAGTGTTTTTGATGCCTCCTTAATGGCTTTAAAATGCCTGCTAAATGCCTTGTTAATGCTATGTGTTGCTCTTTCATTAAATTCTCAACGCACGTGTGAAAGAACCCTAGAGAGCGATGGACGTTTCCAAATGTGGCGCTGGCCATATTGCACCTACACTCAATTTTGCTAAGACCTGGAAACCCATTGCAGATAGAAAACTATTTCTTGAACTTGTTCTGTTGCAGAATTAAATGTTTATTAGCAGACCTGATTTTAAAAACTCACAACGCAAGTGACCTTCGCTTAAAAGTACGACATTGTATTTACATTTGTTAACAACAGCCTGTATCTTGTGTTGTCATCCATTTCTAGCTATTTGAGGCTAGTCCTAGGCTGCAGAGACCTTTCAAGGGATTAGGGAGGAAGTCAGCTGTGTGTTGGGAAATGCTTCCTTCCAGAAGTGAAAATTAATGTTTCTGATAAACTCGTGAAACTTTGACATATATGACCATCAATGACATTAATTACGGTTTCATATAAAGTTGTCATCCAAACTCGTAGGGCTTTTAAGTCGAGATCATTTCTGAGTTGCAGAGCATTCTTCAGTACAGGCACAGCTGGTGTGAACGTCTATGTCTTTAATCAAGTCCTCAGATGACTCTCTCGGGTTTGCTTGCCAGTCTGCTAGGTCTATGGCGGAGTCTAGGAGACACAATGTGAGTGATAATGAGTTAATGAGATAATATCACCTCCAGAGTAAAGCCAGTCTCATCAGTATCTCTTACCAGCCCCATTCATACCCCAGTATGCTGTTCCTTTCACAATTTATGATTTAGGCGACACACACACAGGCGTTATTTGGCAGCATGATAATGATGACAAATGTGTGCTACTTCAATCCATCAGGCAAGACACGCAAGTATAGAAGCGGATCCAAGTGCCATTGAGTATGGGCATATTTCTCCCCACTTATCATTTTTTGAGAAACAACTACATCATATGTGGCCAGCCTCGGAATTGACATGGCAGCCCAAAAGAAGGGTAACAACCAGTGGTGTATCCTGAGCATGGCACATATGGCACATGCACTGGGCATCACTTCCTGGATCAGCGAAAGTTCGCCGACCCATGGAGACAGCTGACTTTTTTCATTTTGGCAGGAGTCCGTCCGCAGGCCAGTCCATCTAGCCTAGCTCCTGGCCACCAGCCACTAGTTGCCAGGAGCACAATGGGATGGCGGACAGAGCGTCCTGCCCAGCTCCTGGCAACCAGCGACGTCACTGGTTTCCAGGAGCTGGGCGGGATGCCATAGGTGCATTTTAGATTAGATGTGCCTCGGGTGTGAACTGCTGAAAGAAGCCATAAAGCGCTTGTGTGAGTAAAATATAAGACACGATAACAAGCATTTTCCAGCACATCCCAGCTGCATAAGTGACTGTGTCAGGGGCCAAAGAAATTTAAAATGAAAGGGACACGTGCAGACCGTGCTGTCCAAAAACTGAGGTTACTTTTGATAATAGTTCATCCTATTTACTTAATTACAGATAATACTTTTGGTCAATGCTAATAAAATATAAGAATGTGTAGTTACCCTTTAAGGATATTATGTATCAGGATGGTTGAATTTTTCCACAATTTATTACATTTAGGTGCTGAAGGTGGCACTGTGATGCTACCAAATAGTCATGTTTGAGTTATAAGGCGAACTCTAAAAATAAAACATTATGAACACTTGCAAGTGAATGCAGCCCCTGCTGCACATCGTATTACATGAGTTTTACTGCTTACAGTTCTCCTAAAGAGGAAATCCGCCAACCAATATTGTGCATGTAAAGTACATGACCTAACTCCATAAGGACTGTATGAGATAGTCTCTAAACACACTTCTAGGGTTGACGTAGATGCCTGACCCCAACAGCAATACACGCATGCTACTCCTGCACCCTCTCCCTTCTCCATAGGCTTCCTCAACAAGCTAAAAATAATCAATAACATGCAATAAATAAATAAATAACACACGCTTCTGACAGCCTGAGGCGCTCATTAATGCCCTCTTGCGGCTTGTAAGCTGTCCAATAATCGCAAGTGGGATAGAAGACCTTTTGCTCTTATTGAACAATCTATAGCTAACGTAACTGCCCTGTCCAAGTGGAGAAATTTGAATTCCATCAGAGCCATACCACTGCCTTAAAAATAAATACTCAATATACACATTTATAGGGCACAACATCTACCTCACTTGCTATGAGTATCAGAAGCAAGCAAAGCCAAAAAAAAGTGCAAGGAAAGGGAAACCTTTTGACTTTGACAAAACATGGGCAGGGCTCATCCCATAGCCCAAAGTGTTTTCTGCAGCATTCTGCAGAGAGCACTCTGTGGGCATCATAAGCACCAGACTGCCCGTTTTTAAATTAAACTTAAAATGTAGCTGCAATGTCCCATGGGGAGATGATAGCAGGAGGGGTGTAACTGTAGATGAGCCCTGAAGAGGAGAGAGCCCAAAGCCCCTGATAGAGAACTGAAAAAAACCTTTGAAGTTGCAGCAGCTATCTTGACGCCACCTTCTTTTCCTGTCTAATCAAATTAAAAATTAGTTGCCCACCTCTTATAGCTATAAGCTGTCTCTGCCATCAGTCATTTTTTCCCTGCATTAGCATAAGCCTATTTTCCCTGCAAAGGTATTAGCATAATTCCCTGCCTAAGCATTTTCTTTCCAAACATTACATGAAAAAAAACATCCTCTGAATCCCCTTAGTTGTGCATGTTCAAGCAACTGATCAGCAGGTTGGTCAGCTAAAGTCTGCAGCACCCAGTGGCTGGTAGGAAGAAGCAGGCACATCTACTGTAAATGGATCCGGAGGGGAGTTACATCAGCAGTGACCCCCCCAATGGCCAAAGACCAAGCCTGGGAACCGTAGAGTATGTGCAGTGGAAATAATGGTGGACAGAGCAAGTGACAGAGCATACATCATACAGCACTGGAATAGAGCAACACTTGTAAGATAAGCTTGCCATAATAATACGCCATGCATACTTGCACATCATGGCAAAAGCCCACCAAGCATATAACAGTTTAACATTGCTCTAAGCCAGTGGTTCTCAACCTGTGGGTCGGGACCCCTTCGGGGGTCGAATGACAATTTGCCAGGGGTCGCCGGGCGTCTAGTCACCACAACTTGGCAAATGTTACCAAGGGGACCCGGCCCTAGAAAGGTTGAGAACCACTGCTCTAAGCTGAGAGCAATTTGTGAGGTACTGCAGGTTTCACACCATAAGCCAACATTTTAGGAATGGGTTGCAAAATGCAGGCTGCAGTATGGAGTAACCTAGCAGTTTATAGCAGATAGTAATATCCACTCTCCGTTTTAATTGAGCCCTTATATGTATAAATTAGGCACGTTGGTTTAATCTGTGTGAAAATCTAGAAGAAATTGATGAGGAAAATGTTGATTTTAAGCTTGATTATTTAATTTATGCATTCCCCCTTCAATATACAGTATATTATTTTTCACTTACCTTTGGGAAGACAGTGGAACGCAACAGGGAGAGGTGTAGTTGCTTTTGGCTGGCAGCCTTCCCTACATGTCAGTGTTGGCTCTACAGAATAACATGTAGATTGGCGTTCGTCAATGAGCTGATCTTCCAGCATCTTGTACTGGTGTGTCATTGCACAGCCTGGAATAGAATGGTAGTAATAGTAACTTTATGATGATATTTAACTACTTATACATTTCTGATTTAATACCAGCAACTCTGTTTATCATTTCTATACTGCATGTGAGTCTCCAGGAGTTTGTACAAAAGGAAAAGAAAAAGAGATAATGAGCAGAGGGGCCGCATGACTGGGGGGAAGAAATAGTCCCTGGAGAAGAGGGTTACATAAAATGGGAATCAGTTGATCTTATCTGATTGGAAGTTGGGGTCAGGTGTCGGGAAGAAGCCACATGGGAAAGGACTGCAAGGGTTGACAGGCATTCTTTCCGGAAAGTCAACGGTGGAAGCAAGTTGTCCCATCCGCCCTCCCATAATTTTTTCCAGTTGATGGCAGTTGGAATGGTTGTTTATGCAACAGCAGCTTGGTGGGTTAGGGGTTCTTTGGGGGTCAAGAAATGTGACAAAATGGGGGGCTATCAGCTGGTATGGTGCTTTTCTTCCCCCGTGTCGGTAGTTGTCGGGGGCCCGGTCCCTTGGAACTTGGGAAGCAGTAACTGTTCTCTAGCTGGTGGGGGTGCTGCTGGGGACATGGGAGCGGTTTCAGTAGAGGCCTTATTTTGGCTGATGGTCACCCAAAGACCCCTTCTCAGATCCAACAGTCGTTCATATTATTTATTTGTATGTTATTTTGGTTATTATGTTTGTTAACTGTTAATTTTGGTATGTTTAACAAAGGGCTGCTATTGCCATTTAAATCAATGTTGCGCAGTCCATGTGTTCATTGGGGTTTTAACAGAGGGACCTAATTGACAAATCCATCAGTCATGTGTTGTAGTTTATAGGAGTAGAAAGTTTTCTGATGATATGAAAGAAGCTACCCCAGGCATCCCTTTTACAAGTGCATATTCCCCGCTCATCCCTGCCCTCTGATTGCGTGCTAGCCTAGTAGGCATGCACATCCAAAGGGATGCCAGGTGTGCCTTCTTTGATATAACTGGGTATGCAGAGAGCCTTATATCAGGTAATGAAAGAAAACATGGAATGAAAAGCCTCTTGATGATTTCAGTACAGTAAGAAAAAGAAAATGCTTGATTGCTAGAGAAAGACAGGCAACTAGAAGGAGGCCAGCAAGTGCCTTTGTTTGAATGCAGGTTTCCTTTAAGTGAGAACATACCACATGTATTCTCCGGCACTGTCCACGAATGAATCAGCCCATCGCAACTCTTTGCCTTTTCACTGTTTGGCTTTTTCCAGTCGTTGTTCTGGGAGCGATCGGCGTTCCCACAAATGCCACAGGTTTTTCCACGCATCAGAGGAGAAATTTGGATCTGGAAAAGTTAGTGTGAGGGTCTCACTAAATATTAATGCTTCTAAGTAGTCTAGCATCCAGGGTGATGTTAGCTGTTCCTCTATTGTAAGAATCAAAATTTGAACAAATCCCTTTGAGGAAGCTGAACATTTGAGATGTCTGAACAAGAATAACAGGGCAGTAAAGTCCAATATCACATTCTTAAGAAAAAGGGTATGGTGTTTCAAAGTGGACATGTGATTGAAAGTACATCTAAAGCCATATACTTGTGAAACTGTATAATCTTCATATTAAGTTATGACATTGGATTGCACTAAATCTAGGAGTAGAATTCACAGAGCAACAGTCTTGCTTACTACAGAGCAATAAAATTAGCAGCCAGCTTAGTGATGTATTAAGAGTTTGGAGTGGAGCTGCTGCTGGAGTCACAAATTTGGAATTGATAATATACTGCTGAGCTGTTGCTTTAAACACTGTAAGACCAAAGACTCAAAAGTTTACTGTGCTGCCAGGGGGCTGTGTGATGGGTGAGATACCATCATGACCATCCATTTTAGCAGCCTTCAGTGATGTCTGTAGGTTTGGCTCCCTTCTGAGATGGACCTAATCAGAGAGAGACCAGAGACTGCTATTTTCGGTAGCTTTTTATCAGTTAAAGAGAAACTTGATCCTCCCAAAATAAATGTTTTTGTCCCCTTACATTCGGGGCTCTTCTTTTGCTGCAATAACCTGCTCACAAGCACAAGAGATCTAGCGTTGTCCTGTTCTCTTGTGCTACAAGTTCTGTCCTCCACCATCTTCCTTGATTACATCCTGGGGAGCCAGCTGTCTGTTCCTACAGCCAGTCCCTCAATGATCTGGCACCAAATCTCATGCATGTGTAGATAGAGATCTGACACCATGTCTGTTTACATGTTGTTCTATGAAAAGAGGTTAGTAATGCCTTCTGGAATACAGATGTCACATTCCCAGGAGGCTTTGCTTTCCAGCATTCATCGAATGATATGTAGACATGGCACCAGATCCTCCTAAAGGGCAGACAGAGAATAGTGGAAAGTAATGCCTCCATATGTGATGCCAGGAGGCTGTGGAAGGAAAATAAAACATCATCCTGGCATAGACGAGGATGGAAGCAGGGGGCTGGACCAGCAGAATAAAATCTAATTAAAAATGCTCAGCTTTTTTGTTTTTTTTAGAGGTCAATTGAGGAGGGTTAGAATGCCACAAACTTTAATTTAAGAGTTGAACATGTGGTATTTCACTGGTACTATATTGAGAGGCTTGAAACGTACTGTATATAATCAGTTTCACTGGGATCATTGTAAATGAATTGAAGGTTAACAGTGTCAGTAAAGATAACTATGTGAATAAGTCATTTTTCCTTTACATTTATAATAACTTTCATACTTTCAGTTAAAATTTTAGATTACAAGCAAAGGATTGATAACAAACCTGGATGGACTGCCCATTGAAGGAGATCTGCTCCACGCCATTCTTTGGTGCTTTCACAGTCACTGTCGTTGAGTTTTTATGGATTCTGATACAATCTAAAAAAAGAAAATCTAATTATTTTTCTGTAATAACCCTGGGCTTCCTTGTAAGATAATATATGTAACACGGGTAGCAGTGTGAATGAAAGGAGAAGCGGAGCTGTTACAGCCAATATACTATGTGAAAATAATATGGTGGGGGTACATTTGCCGGCTAGTCCATACACACATATGCTTATCCCAGAATCTCTATCCCCCTCTCCCGCCCTCTCTGAATATATGTAGCTGCTTCTCAAGGTAGGAGATGTGTCAGCCTCTGTCCAGACAGGGACATCAGGCAGTAAAAATATATAAAGAACATTAAAGTGTTATGTCTGTGAAGGTTCTCATTCATCCAGGTCATGGTATATCTGTAAAGAATAAAACAAGGCAACTGGACTGTTTTTTGTATGTGGATTGGAGCAACATTCACCATATTTATTCTCAGATCATTTTTGTACTTCTGTAATTCTGAATTGAGAAAGCTGGTTGGACGACCAGTGAAGCATCTTCAAGAACAAATACAGCAAGTCCAGTTGTCTTGACTTATTCATTCTTTACAGATATATTGAAGTGTTAGTACAGCCATTTTTTTAAGTTTTGGATAGAGTAGGTATATATTTTTTTTTAGCATGGCCCCAGGGCCCTTCTGCAGGTAATAGTTGAGACCAAAGTCATTATTTTTTCCTGTTTGTGTCCCATCAGGAAGATTTTCCTTCACCTCCTGTCTAAGAAACACAACATCTATTTTAAGCAAGGGCATATCCTCTCTTTCACTATTACATCATTTAATGTGTTTTTCTTAATACAAGCAGTGTAAGCTCCCTAATTGGAACTGTTATCAGCCGTTTGCAGTCCTTGTACAGCAGAGTGTTGGAGGAAGAAGCAGCACAAGGTGCAAATCAGTGCAAATGCCAACAAAAGGAGAGAGCAGAGAGACAGGGAGCTGAGCTCATCACTGTGCTGCTTCTCTAATCCCTGCCCTGTTACAGGCTGGGACGGGTCTATGATGACCTGGGCTCAGAAGAAGGTTTAATGATGCTGGCCACTGCTTCAAGGTGATTAGCAAGTGCTGGCTTTGTGATTTTTATCTTTTAATGGGCTATTCATTTTTATATTTTAATTTATTACTGGAAGTCTGCTTTAGGAATATATAAAAGTCTTTAGATCACAGGGCCCCCATAGCAACAATTTGATGGGGGGGCCCCTGTAAAGACCTCCCTTGGAGCTGTGAGTAATGACACCAAGGTCCCACAGACTTCTCTTGTGCATCTGAAGTCATCTCTACTCTGTAGACTTTAACACCAACCCTTAATGATACAGTATTGTATTATCTTCACATGTTCTATGTTTAATTTGCCTTAACAATGGGGCCCCATTCCACCTCTAGGCCGCATAGGAGCCGCTTGGGCTGCTATGGCTATGGTTATGCCACTGCTGGTATGTTTTTAAACACAGAGTGAGTACCTTTAAAGGATACACATCCTACATGAAGTGCATTTGCACACAGAACTAAGTGACAGATATGTGTTATTAGTGGCAGTACAATAGATAGGAACAAGTTTCTTTACTGTATTAAAGGAACTGCAAAAGGTTCAATTGACACGAGTACCCCGCTGTGCACTTTGGTTCTGGCACTTGCAAACTGTTTAAAAAGGCTTATCACTCTTCAAACTTTTACTCAATGCATTCATATAGCTTTGGACCAGATATACCTGAAAAAAGATGGAAACGCCCTTTAAGTTCTGACGTCCATTGATCTTTTTCAGAGGTATATGGAATTTCAGAACTTGTGTAACCCTGAAAAAAAACTCTAAAGCGGCAGAACCCTATGCCACCTGGAAGTTCTGGAACCTCAACGGGGAAAATACAATAAATCCGTCATGCTAAAAATAACTCAAACTATTTGATTTATTTTTTTTATTATTATCGCATTTCCTCCAGATATTTTTCAGCTCTCCCTGCACTCAGCTGTGTTCTCCATTATTATGACCTTACTGCTATTGTACCTCTTTCATTGATGTACGTGTCATTCTTTAACAGCAGCCACATTCCATTCAGCTGAATGTGGAACTCCTCCGAAGCGTCACAATGGATTTTAATGTCTCTGAAAAATAAGACAGGAACCTGAGCATTAGTTACAGGATGTGACTGTTTATATACATAAAATAATAAAAAAAGGATGATCTATTACCGCGGCGAGGGTCGCGGTGCCAAAAAGGCTTTTCAGTGTTCGTATCACCGACATCAAATTGCTTTGTGTAGATTGGGGCCAAGTTATAAACTATTATACATCATGAATTTGAAAAATAAATATTGTGATCATTACTTTTGTATCATCTTAGTGATTTACTGTACATTGGGAAGCACAGTTGTTAAGTTATGCTGCTTGGAGTTCAACATGTCAACTGAAAAACATACTGCTAGCTTCAGCTTGTAGTAGATAGTCATATTCAGCTAGACTTGTTCTTATGTGCATCTAAACTCAAACAATGAAAGTCTTTTGTTATATCTGTTTGATAGGTGCAAAAAAATGCCTGTTAATCCTGCCATAAATCCAGTCCTGTCCTGTGCACTGTGCAGTGTTAGCTCAAGCAATGTTATAAGCTGTGCCTAGTACAAAACACCCAGGGCTGTCTGTAAGGTATTGGCTGTCTGAGGCCATGTGATAGGGCAGTGACTGGTCATTGGGGGGTTGTATTGGCAGTGACTTGTCATTGGAGGGGTTGGTTGTACTAGCAGTGACTGGTCATTGGGGGGGCAAGCTTGTACATGGCGGGTGTTCTGCTGATTTGTCGTTCGGGCCAGGCCGGGGTTGGGGCGGGCGCTGGACTGTGCTGTCAGCGGCTCCACCTAGCTCACTGACGTGACTAGCTCCTGGCAAGTGACATCATAAAGCTGGGCAGAAAGCCGCACAGAGTGTCACAGGTTGCTAAGAGTGGTGTAAGCGCAAGCTAATCTTTATTTTGCATGACAAGAGGTCACAAGAAAAATCCAAAGCAATGATCCTTAGAACAAAATAGATCTGTATTTTATACGCTGTTATCTTGTTTTTCAGCTCTGTCAGGTGCGTCTGCGGGCAAGCCTGAGAGGTCCGAAGGCAAGGTTACAAGGGGCAATCCAAAGGGGTAGTCGAGTACAATCCGAAGTCAAGGCAGGCAGCAAAGGGTCAGAGGTGGTAGTCGGTCCAAGGTCTGTACACGGGAAGTCAGCAGAGGGTTCAGGAAACTGGCAGCAAGGCACATAGGAGGGGAGCTTCGTATGTCACACCATAAGGTGGAATAACTCAGCAATAAGCCAGGGCTCAGGCCAGGTTTTTATAGCCCGGTGGTGTAAGTCCGCCCACTTGTCACCGAGGCAACCAGGAGGCTTCCCTCCCCGAGAGCCAATGGCAGACGAGAGGTGGTTTGTGTGGGCTGGGGAACCTCCCCCAGCAAGGCCCACACCTGAGGCCTAAACAGGCGCAGGCGCGCTATGCGCGCGTCCCCGGGATGCACGTGCAGCCTGTGTACTGCGCATGCTCACACGCCGCGCAACCCGCGCATGCGCGCCAGCGGTCGGAGCGCCCGTGGTTCTGCCAGGCTGGAGGGAGGCCCGCACCCCATGCCGTGCCCACTGACCCCGTAGGGAGGTGACTCCCCTGGCTTCCTGACAAGCTCTGAGGAAGGGGGGGTCCTCTTGTTGTGCAAAATAAAGATTTACTGAACCTACTGAGGAAATCTTTGCGAAGTGAGAGGAACCACCCCAAACCCTTCTTCTTAGATCACAACAAGTAATCCAAATGAATTTAACTCAATATTAATATAAACACAATCCCAATATTACCATATATTTATTTGTGGGAGTGGTAAAAACATTGATGCAAATTGTGCTTATACTAGCACCCTTACCCACATCTTTTTTCCTCTGGACCTAATCCTCTGGAATAAATTTTGTATTTTTATGTTATTTTTAATGTTTGCAAATTAATTTTCTTTATACGATCTTTATTGCAATTTTCACTATTTTTCTATAGTGGTAGCCCTGATTAAGTTTCCTAATCACATCTACCTTTCTTTTTTTTCACTTAATTTTATTTCATTTCATTATAACTCTCTCTTTTAGGGCTAGCCACCATTAAATAAAGTGCAACAGTGTTCCCCAGGTATACCCCAACATGTTTTCGTCACTAACCACGTGGCTTCATCAAGGGGATGAAATAGGTGACGTTTTCCCAGTAAGCGGGCAAAGTGAATGCCACTACAGGAAAATAGTGAAAAATCCACTTTAGATTTTAAAAGAAAATTTGCAAACATTCAAAATAAAATAAAAAAATTAATTTATTAGGTACAAGAATACGAAAAAAAAATTATAGTGGGTAAGGGTGCTGGAATACGCACTGATGAGGTAATCCCAATGGAATCCTAACATTTGTACAACTTAGATGCTGAATTCAACACATTAATGAATTAGGGCTGAAAAATCAGAATCGTATGGTGCACAATGGCTCCAATCAAGCTGCTTTCAGCACAAACAGGGCATCCCAAAGTTTGGAATCCATGTATAAAAACTCACATATGAGCACATGAGAGTCCAAATATTGGTGTTTGTCCATAAGAAAGCAATATAAAACAGACAACGTTTTTCAGTGGCACAAAAATCTTTCCCTTCTTCGGGACTATGACATATGGTAGCCCTGAAGAAGGGGGGGGGGGGGGATTTTTGTACTTTGCATCCCCGAAATGCATTGGCTGTTTTATATTGTCTTGTTATAAATGAACACCAGAATTAAAACATTTTGGACTCATTGGACATTTCATTCTTTAGAAGACAAAAGTCAGGATGAATAGAGCAAATACAAAGACAGCAATGAAAACCTGAGGTGGTAATAACCCACACTATACAAAATTAAAATTTTGGTGATAGTTTGGTCTTTGTTGAGTGTACTGATACAAGAAAATAGGGAATTTATTTAGTATTATTAAAATGTAATCCGATTAATAAAAAGACATAAGATATACAGGAGTATGTGTGCACACTAAAGGTGTCTCCAAGCCTCCAGTATAAAGAATATTATAGGCCTTTTTACTGAACTCCTATTTAAAGTGCATATAGCCCTATTAAACCTTTATCTAGCTGTCATGTTTTATTGAAGCCTTTAAATTCTTCATCACGTAGTGCTTTACAGCAAGGAAAAAAACCTGGGCCTCGGCGCTGATTTTGCTGTTGATATCGGCACAGTATCTCTATTACAATGACAGAGCTGGTAATAATGAAGGGGGCAGTGAGTATTACAAAGCTCATTTCTGCTGAATGGATTGTCAGAATAACCTTTTCAAACGCTTCTAGCTCATTAGTAGGTGTACTTACGAAGATCCCAGCTTGACATTTATTTCAAAGGTTGAAAATCCTTGACCCATTTTTTTCATGGCGACCAAGAACCTTAATTGATTGGAGCAGTCTTGAGCTATCACCGTATAGCAGGGTGCAGGGGAGAGAGAACACCCCAGGTTCGTCTGATCGAAGGTCACAATGTTTCCAGCGTCCACTTTGCACACGGCTGCAACACACACAAATAATATGATTAGTGCAATCTATAGGCTGTGGGTTTTATAGAGCCACCTGTGTCATTTTTAACTGGTGTGCAACCTGTGTCAGTTTTAACCTATACAGCCATATACTAATCTTCTTTTGGGCCATATTAACCTTGAAGTGTACTTTGCAGTCCAATCTACACTCCATGCCCAAGTGCTGTAACAAACGTGGAGTTAACACTAGGAGAATGGAGCTTGGTGATGCAATTTCTATTTGCTTATTTATTTATTACATGTATGTATATAGCGCCAAAAATTTACACTGCGCTTTACATACTGCACATTCACATCAGCCCCTGCCCTTCAAGGAGCTTACAATCTGAGGCCCCTATTGCACACACATACAGGGCCAATTTACATAGGAGTCAGTTAACCTTCCAGCATGTCTTTGGAGTGTGAGAGGAAACCGGAGTACCCGGCGCAAACCTACGCAAGCACAGGGAGAACATGCAGATAATGTCCTGATCAGGATACAAACCAAGGCCCCCGAGTGCTGCAAGGCAGAAGTGCCTTCAATTGGGCTTTAAAGTAACTCTGCTTCATTTCTTTCTGAGTCACTGACCTGGCAACTAGCATTTTCAAAAGAAGGTCTAGTAATGGGAGACCCAGAACTTTTTTCATTACAGAGGCACTTTAAATGCAGAGGATACAATATACAGGAGGATACATTAAGTTTCTATAATCATGCAGGTACTTATTTAAACATATGGTTTTACATTGACTTTCCAAAAGTGAAATATATGTATCTTATAAAATTGTAATATTTTTGTACCCAGGACGAATGAAGTGTGTGACCATTTAAAAGATTAGAAGGAGATCACCTTTACTAGTACTTTGACGAACCAATGATGTGACATCAGGAAGAGCTGTGACATCCATCAGGTGAATTTTCTGGAGCCAGTGAGTATCAAGTGACAGATCCAATGGGAAGGGCATGCCTTGCTTGTAAATTGTCATCTAAGGAAGGATGGATAAAAGACTCATTACAGAGATACATATAGAAGGACTGTAGACAACAAGCTTAATACAAGTACTTATATGTATTTTATTTTACCAACCAAAATAAATAATAATAATAATAATAATACTATTATTAGTATTATTAATTATGCTCAGCTAGTCTTATACACCTCTTGCCAGACAACATGGCCAGGTTGGTGACCTCAGTTTTCTCTGCTGCAGTTAAAGACATAGTCCACCTTTTTAAATAAAATTATAAATGCACACATATTAATGAAAGAAGAAATGTGTATTTATTACATTTTTGCACTGGAGACTGTAATGCAAAGCTTAGGCTCCTGCAGACTGTTAGGCTCCACCCCCAGGTCTGTACCAAGTACTGTACAGTTTGTGACTGTCCCATACCACTTCAAACACTTTAGTGGGTGCTGAAATGGCCAGCGGATGGCGCCACATGGATTAACGTATAGAAGAATAAGCCACCAGCAGACCAAAGATCAACTTTATTGTCCTGTCTTTATTTGACGCCAGATAAGCATGGCATTACATGCAAATGCAACATTTCGGGACCTTGTGCTGTGCCTTCATCAGTAAAAAATGGTATGACTGTCATACCCCCTTCAAATCAAGTTCCCCCCTTCACATCAATCCTGCACCCCTTTCACATCACAGTCCCACTACCACAAACCTTTGGGGCACCCCCAAAGAGGCCAGGAAGCACACCAGTGTGCCATGGCACCCTGGTTGAAAAAGGTTGCTATAGATGACTATTATATTAGATATATATATACTGTATAATGATGCATACCCCTGCCCCAATGTGAAGTTTCTTCAACAATCTATGATAAAATTATATTTTTAGTAAAGTAGGGAAGGAGTGAGCCGTTCCTAATGTGGTCCATTACATAAGTCCAGTTTAAAAAAAAATATGCTAGACTAGGCCACATTATACACGACTTTCACAGCTCTTTGGGTTACGGTTTGCTTTCTGTTTTGTGTTAAAGGTCATATACCTCAGGGGTCTTTAAGATGGCATCAAATGTGTCAGCAGTGGAAGTGGCCACTCTCAAGGTGACTTGGTGTGGTGTGTTGTGACGACGTAGCTCTGAAAATCCCAGTGTGTATGCCACTCCAGGAACATACGGCATGAAGCTGGATGAACACAAAGAATTCCGTCAGATATATGAATGGTGTTTCTTCACAGAAATACAATAACATTTCACATACCTTCCAGTCACTGCCCTTAACCAGGAAGGCAACCATTTCCAGTGCCATGTCAGCTGTACAGCTGGAGCTCCAGACATCTGTCCTGTAGATGCTTGTGCTGCGATTCTGTAGTCTTTGCAGTTTTTTCCCCACCTAATCATGGCCTGTCAGATTCATCAAATTTAGATTATTTCAGCCTATTATTATAATAGTATTATATATTTCAAAAAACATTCCTGGTCATTTTAAAACGAAGTTTCACTTGAGGTTCATATATGGGAACTGTTTTACCTTACAAAGAATTAGTTATTCAGTGCAGTCATTTATGAGATTCAGCTACCCCTGACAGAAAGATTTGTGACCTCCAATGCAGAAGAAGCAGAGCTTGGTCAAAAACACACCCTAGCCTGTTGTCTATAGAAAACCGGCTCTCGAAACGGGATTGGTCCAGTAATAGACCCAATTGGAGCAGCATAACTCTCACACATCCACTCCTGCTAATGGAACCTTGGTGCTTCCAACTAAGCCTTAAATCCAAGAGTCCATAGAAAACCAGCACTCAAAACAGGATCAGTCCAGTAATATCAATTTATTCCAAAAAGGCATAAAAACAGCCAATAAAAAAAAACTACTGACACGTTTATGCACACAACTGAGCGACTGTTGGTCAGCGGATGCTAGACCACACAAAAAAAGTGTGTGCAGGCTCCAACTGTATGTTCCCACAAAGGTGTCTTATGGTGCAGGGGGGTTAGTCTTTGGTGTAGAGGGCTCAGAAGAGACATTAGGAAGAGTTAATGTTATGGTTAAAGGAAGAGTGAGTGTATGGGCTGGGGTTACAGGAAAGGCTAGTGTTAGGGTTACAGGAACAATTAGTATTTGGGTTACGGGGGGGGGGTGTTTGGGTGAAAAGGAGGGTTAGCAATATTTGGTTACGTGATGGGTTAGTGTAAGATTTGGGGGTACAGAGAGGGGTAATGTCTGGGTTAGTGTTGTGGTTTCATGAAGAATTAGTCTTTGTTTTGCAATTATAGGGTGGGCTAGTGTGGGGATTAATGTGAAGGTTAGTGTCAGGGTAGGGGTTACAGAGGCGGTTGGCATTCATGTTGTGGTTAAAGGGTAGGTTAGAGTTGGTGTTACAGGGTAAGTTATTGTTATGGTTATAAGAGGGTGTGTGCTAGGGTTACAGGGAGTGTTTGTGTTAGGATTACATGGAGAGATTGTGTTAGCATAAAAGTGAGGGTTATTGTTTGGGTGGGAGATAGAAGGAGTATAAGTGTCAGGTTTGAGGTTACAAGGTGAGGTAGTGTTTTGGTGGTCACAGGGATGGTAAGTTTGAGAGAGGTCTTAGGGTAGGGCATTGCTTAGGTTGAAGTCGATGGACATGTGTCTTTTTTCAACCTGACTAACTATGTAACTATGCTTTTTGCATTGAAAACTAGCTCCTGGCGCCAAAAACTAATATACCAATCTTTACAATAGGCACATACTTTTTATTCTTTGATGTGTATATATTTAAATGTCTTACAGAGGCCTTGTGGAATCCAGAGGCAGAAGCGTCAAAACATGTTTTCCAAGAGCTCTTTTGATCCAGAGAAACAGTCTGCACCTGAGCACGATGCTTTTCATAGTAAGCTGTGGTTTGGTATCCTTTGTGCTGGGCATCGCTCATGAGGGCTTTGACAAGAAAAACGAAGTCTGGGGAGAGTCGTTCAGATAAGTTCTGCTGGAAGATACAACAGTGGAGAAAATATGTCATTTTATAGAGACCTTGATATATCAATAAATTAAACCTGCATTGAGAAATTACAGAGCCTGACAATGCTGACCTCTCTTGAACATACCAAATCAATGTATCAACCAGAGAAAGCCACACAACTATTTTTAAAAGGGGGACAGCAATGACTGCCCCCTATTCTTCCTAATACACGTTAACTATAGAGGAGTTCACCCTCCTGTTTTTTAAGTTTTGTGTTGGCACCAGTTTGCAGATTTGTCTCAACTGTCTAAACTTCTAGCTGAGACTAAACTGATAGCTCTAATGGATTATGATCTGCTCTAGCAAGTATTTTAACTTACCAGCAGCCACACAGCATTGAAATGTTGTGTGGAATTGATCCTAAATTTGACCTGCCTTGTCCTACGCAGCTAGACATTTGTAAAACCATTTTGCCTTGGGGTAGGATAATTGAAATGTCTGATATGTGAGAACAAAATACCAAACCCAGAACCTACCCATATCAGCTTGCAATAACTGCTTGACAATCATAACTACTTATCAACTCTGCAGACCAGCTGGAGAGATGGTTTCATGTTTCCTGAGCTGTAAAGACCATTTTGACTTTCCTCAACATCCCTGGCACCCCCTTTCCCCTACATATCTTTAGTTGAATTTAACCACAAATGTCCAGAGGTGACTAGACTAGCGAAAAACAATAAACAAAACATTAACGTTTGTAAATTCTGAGACTTGGTGCTTCTTCCTCTAACTCTGCTGCCCCGAGCACCATCCAACAAGTGACTAATGCAAATATAGCCCTGGTGGCTCTAAAATCTGAATCAAAGTTCCACAATTCTTCCTATTACTTTTTGCCAGAAAGTACGCTATCTTGATTTGAAGAGAATAAAAGGAGACACGCGGTAACTTACATAAAATGATGTGCAACTCTATTTTTCTTCAGTGATGGTAGTGCTAATTTTAAACTTGATGGTAGTGCTAATTCTAACATGTATGTTTTATTATAAGATCTTAGCAGTAAATTACACTACACTAGTAAAAAAAATGCATATATTAGCTGCTAAAGTAATTGGGCTTATAGGAACTCTGGTATAATGGTGCTGTCCACAACCAATCAGGTCCCAGTAGTTAGAAATAAGTAAACTGGAAAGCCTAAACTGAGAGTGAAAGTGACAACCATGTTTATTGTACGATGTTCCTAACCGTATAGCGTGATGAATTCTCTTCGCTGCTGCTCTTTCTGCGTCTTCCATGCTGTAAAAGAATAATATATATAGGGTTGAATTGGTAAGCAGGCCAGTCCAGAATTCCATATGCCCAGCCTTTGATTCCAGATCTTCTTGTGGGATTCCAAAGTATTCCATGACCCCGGCAATACTAAGGCAAGGGCCTAGAAGGACATGCCGGATACAGCATTGGAGTAGAGGCACTACTCATAAGAATCACAGCAAGTATCCCTCTAAGCAGTGCCTCTACTCCAATACTGCATCAATAAGCTCCTCACCTTCAATGCCCAGGCCCAACAGTTCTGGTACGTAAACACATATCCACATCTTGTGCATACTACCCTTACTCTCTTGGTAATTATTAGCCTTAGTTTATTACTAGAGACTATTGGAAAAAAGTCCACTCCCAAACTCTGTTTCAATTAAAGTGAACCTGACCGGGCCTAAAATATTTTTAGTCTTTGTTAGTCTAAAAGTGTTAAATTAATACCTGTGTAGATGCTTGGACCCTATGTGCAAGTTGTACATACATGCCCAAGTACAAACTGAGTGTTAAGTTCCACCCTGTTCAACTGTCAAATGCCAGAGCTTCTAGTGCCCACTTAACAATTCTGGCATTGAATATCAAAATATATAACTATTTTTAAACAGTAAATAGTGGAATCACAGGGAATGAGGCATGGCATCGGGAAGGGGGCAAGCAATTGGACAGAAATTGAGGCTTGAGTCATAGCCTTGACCTAGGTACCAAGAGGACTCAACAGAGATCAATTTGAAGACTAATACAAGTATTAGCAGGCACCACAAGCTGCTGCAAGTCAGCACTGTTGTTACCCTAAAAACATTTTAGACCAGACTTGTTAAAAAAATCCTGCTACTCATGCACAGTACAGAGGGAATATAGGCTCATGTCCCCAAAGCATGTGGGTAATGACTGTGCAACCTCTTCTCAGCTATGCTGGCATCAAAACGTATGTGCTTCAGCAATAGATGTAGGCTAGTAAGCTAGCTCTCAAACCACCAGCATGCAGTTCATGGACACTCTGGACTCCTTTCCACTTAGTTAGCTTTGAGAAATCAAGAAGGGTGCAACTAGACTGACCTTGGTGGTCGCAAATACGTTACTTACCTTAAACATCTCGAACTGTCAAAGCTTTGTTACAATATTTCCTACCAACCCATTAACTGATTAATCAAGAATATCATAAGAACTAGTGTTCTTCCAAAATGCAATGTTCCAGTTATTATAGTGAATCTTTTAAAATCAATTTATTTGTATGCTGAAAGATAGAACCCCATTGAGTTTATTTTTAAAAGTGCTATTTGTGTAATTTTAATAGCTTTTTATATGTTTCATGGGGAATAACCAGTTTACTGGGGCAGGAGCCGTCCCCACCGAGGGAAAGTTGGGTTGGATTTAATTCCTGTATCCTCACTATGTAGCTCAAAGAACCTGGTGGTCATTATTAACTGAATGATGTTTCAAAGGGAAAAACTATTTTCTGAGCTGGTATCAAAATATCAGAGGGCTTTACAAGCCTTGACAGAAACTCCACTCCTGTTTCTCCATCACAGAGATGTTACAGTCAGAACATAAACATAGATTGTTTCAGGGATTGACATGTTTGAGAATTAACTCAACTGAACCCTAAACTTCAGAAGGGCCAACTTTGATAAGCTGCGCAACCTAGTGGGGGAAATAAAATGGGAAAACTTATTTCAAAACCTAAACACAGACCAGATGTGGGATTGTTTTAAAAACACAGTACATACTGCTACTTCAAAGTGTATACCTTTAGGAAGCAAAAATAAAAGATCAAAAACTAAACCAATATGGCTTAATAAAACTGTAAAACAACACGTCAAGGACAAGGGAGCGGCATTTATAAAATATAAGACAGAGGGGTCGGCATTGAAGTGGGAAAAAGTTGCATATGAAATCCAATTTTTACATGAAGGGTGTTTTCCATATTTTGGGTCTAAATTTTAGATTCAAAGCATCTTTTTGAACTATGTTCAGAATAGGCATTGTAATGTATCACAGACCTTTAATAGATCAATAACTTTTATTTTTTTATGGCTTTAGCTTATGTCATGCTTTGGATGTGGAGGTTAAGTGAGGCATCGCAAGTAGGGTTTTAAGGCCATATGAATAATGTTAAGGGCTGTTTCACCCCATATGTGTTGAGGCTACACTGGCCATTGTTTCCAGCGCAGCCCCAACATAAGACAAGGCAATATGCCTTGTCACAGACAGGCTCAGTTCACACCACCGCATTGGGATGGGAATGCAGTGTTGTGCTCTGAAAAAAGTATGGCATGCTTTTTTTAAGTGCAGCTGGAATGCAATGTGGAGCAACTGCCCTGCACCCTGCTGTGCCCGTAAGAAATTAATGAAGTGTCACATTTCTATCATGAAAAAAAAAAAGTACACAATGTGATGTTTCGGGATCTGCACATCGGCATTGTGTTGGGCAACCCACACATGCTGCTGTGCATTTAGCGCTGGTGTGAATTGGCCATAATGCATGAAATACATCAAGGCTCTGTCATCTGAAATGTGATTCATAATATACACTGTTGCCGGGGGAAGATTTACCTTTCTTTAGCACCTCTGCTGTGAAGGGTTTGAGGTTGCCGATAGTAATATCAAATCTGTCCCTGATGTGAAATTGGGCTTGTAAGTCTTACTGTATTTGAATACAAAAGACTGGCACTTTTGTATTGTTTGAAAATACCATTGATATAACTTTAGAGCAGAGTAGTAGAGTAAGTAAAGCCAAACTTTGTTGTTGTTTTACATCTTTTTTGGGTCACTGGAGTACATTTATTATTGTACTCTTCTGAAACAACATCAGCAGATAGTGGGCTAATACCTGCTATCTGCTGAGAGTGCAGAACCAAACCATAGCCAGGAAGTATCCTGACAATATTGTCAATATCCACCCCTGCTGCCTAAGCCCCTCTAGAGCCAGCCGTGCACGCCCCCTTCCCCTGTCTGTCCCTCCATGTGGAGGAAAGGGGTGACTGACACTCATTGCTCTCTGCAGGGAGAAGACAGACAACTTAGCAATCAGCTCCGGCTATAACGCCGGTGTACGACAACTGCAGTGTCCCACTCTGGCTCTAAGCAGCCAGTTAGCGTATGTGTGACCGTCCCTGCACTTCTTTAAACTCTCTCCCATTCAAACTGTTTATTCTGTGTTAGATTCAATCCCTGAATTCAATGCTTGAGGTAGGTTTCATACGTGTCAAAATTGTGTGTGTTACAGTGTGGATATGTCATAAATAATAAAACACAGTTATAACCGGTGAAAAAAAATGTTACATACCGTAAGAGTAGATGTTGACTCAAACTTACTATTGATATTTTCTACTTCAAAGAGTTCCTGAAAAATTGGGGGAAATTAATTTTAAATTAGTAGAAATAGTCCTTGGAGGAAGAAGACAGATGTTTAGGGAGTAGAGGGAAAGAATAATGTACCGAAAAATTTGATGAAATCCATGAATTATCTTGTGATTCCGATGTTCTTGTATCATTTAGAATATTCTTTGTAAATGCACTACTTTTAGCTTTATGATGTCTTCTGCGATCATGTCTATGTTTCCTGCTTTCTTTGTGTTGCTTCTGGTGACTTAAATTGTGATTGCTACCCTTCTCATGTTTTCTGTGGCCCTTCTTGGATTTTTCCCTCAGCTTTTTGACTCTTGAGTTACTACTGTCACTATTTTTCTGCTGTATTCTGGGGCCCTTTGTGGGTTTTGGTTCATGATTTCTTTCACTTGAGCTGCTATCCTCACTACTGCTACTGCTACTGCTTTTACTACTTAGGAATTTGCATTTCTTCTCATTACCGCTCTTCCCTTGTGAGGGGTGGCATTTTGTTCCGTGATGGTGGTCTTTTTGTTTTTCTTTATGATGGTGACCATTCTCTTTTGGTTCGTGCCAACACCTGCAGGGTCTTTTTTGTTCTTTTGTGTCAAGGCTTTGTTTTTCATTGTGATGACCTTCATGATGAGCTTTATGAGGGTCCTCTTGTACTTCTTCTTTATGACCTCCCTTGTGATGATTCTTTGCTTCTCCTTGTTTATGTTTGTGGTTTTTATGTTCTCCTCCTTCATGGTGTTTATGTTCTCCTTCATGGTGCTTATGTTCTACTTCTCCTTCATGGTGTTTATGTTCTCCTTCTCCTTCATGGTGTTTATGTTCATGGCTATTTTTCCTACTTTCATGTTCATCTTTGTGATGTTTTTCATGTTGTGTCTTGCTGTGATGGTCTTTATGCTGATTATCTGATCCTCCCTTTGTATGGTTGTGTTTATTATTATGCTCCTCTACCCCCATCTCATGGGAGTGGATGTGGTGGCCCGTGGATTCTGGCCAGCATTTGCAACGGATGTGCATTTCTTTTTTCACGCCATGACCCTTGTGCTTTCCTGAATCATGGTGAGATATGTGATCTGGTATTTCTTGCTCTGAATGTTGGTGATGCTTGTGTTGGTGTTCTATATTCTTCATTCCACTCTGGTGTCTTTGGTGACCTTCTTCTACTTTATTTCTATTGTGTTGACCATGGTGAGACTTGTGGTCCTTTTTCTTATGCCGCTGCTGCTTTTTTTGGCTACCTGTGCCTACATTGGACAATTCTGAAGAATTTCTAGAAGAAGAGGCACTTGATGATGTGTTATTTTTTGAACCAGCCTGGCAAGAACACAAATCAGACATCCTTTTAAGAAATGGTTCCTTAGCATGTTAATGCAGAACTATTTAAAAACATTATTAGTTTTCTGCATTTGTCTTTCAAATGTCACAGTTCTTTCTCTTGTAACTGCACATGAATCATTGTTCAATTTGAAATAATATACCGTTTCTATGAACTACTTAATAGTATGAAATGGTTTAGGGGGAATGCATAGTATTTTAAATGATTTTGTTTTTAAAAATATACTATATATATATATATAAAATTGATCAAATAAAAGCATCAATTCATTTTTCAAATTCTACTCCCTATGAATAATTTATATATTTAGATGTAAGCAACCATATTTGCTTAATACACACGCAGGCCCTACTTCCTTCTTTGTGGTACTACACAGGGACTGTGCTTTACTGCTCCTTCTCACCATTTCAAGTCTATGCATTGAAAATAATGCACTCCATGAGTGGCTGTTATCTCAACAGTTGTTAAGCAGGAAACAGAGAGAGTGACTGAATGAGTGAGAGTGCCCTCTAGTGCCTAATCTCTTATCAAAACTGGAGCAGACAGAATCTAAAGCAGTTGTCCATGGCAAACAATCAGCATCTCTCTTCCGTTTGCTCAGGTAAGATTTGAAAATGGGACAGAAAAGCTGATTGGTTGCAGTGCAAATCTGCTCCAGATTTTTTCTGCTCCAGTTTTAATAAATTCCCCCCCCCCTAATGTCTACATTTAATACAATATAAACTTTTTTAAGAAAGCATTTAAAAATGTTAAAGTCACAAAAAATGTTTCTTTCAAGTGGTTTTAAAGGTTTCATTTTAAAAATCATGTCAGTGTAGCGCATGCCTGACCACTACTGGCATCCATCCAGCACTGCAGCCAAGTATGAT